TTCTTTCCTTGATATTCGAAGATTGGATCCCATCCTGCAGGATGATAAGTTAGCGTGGTGGTGAAAGAAGTTTCTGTACAAATGCTTTAACAAACCGAATTTGGCTGGACCGCGAGCTGGAACAATCTTGCCCTACGATTCAAACGACCGTCAGTTTGCGCCCCTAGTGTATTATCACAATTGAGAGATTAGATCGGGGGGTTAGTAACACACATCAGTCCGCCCTTGAAATAGAATTGGCTCCTCTCCCGGTCCTGCAGCAAATGCGAATGTGCAAACGGCGACTGCAGATCTATCTTCAAAGCCGTGGAGCATCTTATTCAGGCCCTCGTGGCCTAACTTCTCAAGGAACCATTTACTAGTAGAGAGGTCAATTAAGTTCTAACATATAATATTACTTTATCGTAATAGAATGTGCTATCAAGGATCATAATGTATTGGCACTTACATATATGGCCCCGGCATACCGCCCATTGCGTTAAACTCCAATGCCGTATCTTCAGTGAGAACTGGTCCATTGATCTGCATTTGCTCAAGTAAGAATCTAACCGGCACGATAATTCCTCTCGTACCAACTGTTGCCCAGTTCTGTGGAGAAGATGGGATTTCCTTGTACATACTTCTTTGGCTGCATTCCGGCATTTCTCGCGCGCAATCTCTTCGATGGTGCCTTGAAGCTCAGGTAGATCAACAGCTTTGTTCTGCACTTCTATTGCGTCACCAAGTATTGCTTGGACTTCGCCCAGTTTGTTCTTGTTGCCGGTGATGAAGTTTATGGTTTTCATTCTGAAAGCAATCAAATATAATGTGTGCTTGGTGGAGGGGAGGGTTTCGCTGGGAATACTCGTAAAGGATGTGTGTACTTGAATTTATATCGGTGGGGTAAACTATCCAAAACTTTGACGGAGGGATCCTCAAGGCGGTTCTGATAATCAACTATGTAACCAGTCGATGGGGAGCTTTTTGCACAGAGTACTTGAAATGGGTTTTTAATTCATTTTCAGTATCACTCCTTACCATATTTGGAGCGTTGATCGTATCAAATATCAAAAGAATTTTGTAGGCTCTATCCTAAAGAGCCACTCTATGAAGGCTGCAGTATATCAGGACCAAGCACTGGCCCTCAACAGTCAACGAGGCCAAGGGCGATTAACAAAGCTCCAGTATACAAGGGAGAATAGGTTCAGGAAAAATAGTGTCAATAGAGAAGACCGGAAGTAACTCTCGAGGATTTTGGACGGGAGGATTCAAGACATCGGAAACAGCGGAGGGGCCAAAATTGAAACCCGTGAGCAGAGACACCCAAAGTTTAGAGAAAGGAGGCCACATAAATCAAGTGAAATTACATTAGCAAAAAATATACGGCTCCAGCACCAAGAAAAACCGAGTCTCAAGGCCCCGTGAGTGCAGAGCTTATAATGGGTGTTCATACAACACTTGAAAGTGAGAGAAATAGATGAACAAGCAAATGTGACGGCCACATGAAAATCCGGTGGCCAGGCAGAGATAAGACATTGTGTAATAATAACAGAGAATGAATCAGAGGTCATTATGATTCAGAAATCGTTTCAATCGGATCACCAACTTCTGCATCTTCCAACTTCTCCTGCTGCGCCATGGCCTGCGCAGAAACTATTTCGGCAAGCCGTTTGAGTCGGGGGGGTTTGTAGCCCTATTTTAATGATGTTAGCTCTATTTGTATTAGCCGCCGACAAGGGCCATAGAACCTACAGGATGGTGTGTATGTCTCCAGGGCCGTGATGGCTCGTGGTTCAGCAATCTCATAAGGACCGCTATCTTCCATATCGACGGGCCGTAAGGAGGAGTACGTCACTCTTCTCGGTTACCCGGGAGGCTACGGCTTTCATGATTTCTCCATTGATAGGCTGCTC